CAGTTATTTCAAGGTATTCTTCATTTTAATAATTTTGTAAAAAAAATTTTTGTAATTTTTTAGCAAAATTAATTTTTTATATCATCAATTAAAATGGCTAGAGTTAAGATTTAAAAACCAAAATAATTAACGATTTTAATACTTCTTTTGATATTTTACCTAATATTTGTTGATCTTTTATAAATATTTAATGAATAAATCAACACTTTCAAAAATATTAAGAAATTTCATGAGAAAGATACAGTGAAAGTTTAACATACTGGTTGAAGACCTCATAAAACGGATCTAATAAAGGATAATTTGATGACAATAGAATTCGAAAACTTTCAAAAATTAACCCTCAGGGGCAATTATTATTATAAAGTTCGAAATCAGTACTCCTATGGTTAGTCACATGGAAAATAGGACTGGTCTTTGTTGTAGTCACCCTGCGTGAAAATCTCTTAGTTTTAGAAAGAATCGTACTACTCGTTTTCTCTTTGCCAAAGATAATCGAATCAATATGAAATAATGCCCTTTTATTGGACGTGTCCAAATTCAATTTGAGAGGCCAAAGGGGAAAGATACTAGACCCGAAGAATATTAAGTTCAGCGGTGGCAAAATTATGGTATAGAACTGTTTTTCAGGGCAAGGTATTGGTGGAAGTCAATTATAAAAAGATACTATGTGTGGTATAAAATAGAGATCCATTTAAAAAAACATAAAGTATTCCTCCGCTGTGGAAACTAGGGCCCTAGTTTGGAGATTTCAAAAGGACAATGACCCTTAAAGCCAAATTTTGAGTTGTAATCGAGCGGTTAAACTCGAAAGTGATACCTGTATTGAAGTGGCCTGCCTATTCACCAGATCTCAATCCCATAGAAAGTCTATGGGAAACAGTAGTTCGAAGACATGGACTCAAAAGTCGTCCTTCCAGGTGTAATTGGAAGGACGATTTTTGGGTTGCGGTTATAAGGGAATATCTATATTTTTCGAATGAAATTTTTGACTCAATTATTGTTCCAATGCATCGCCGACGTCAAGCAGCAATACAAAGTAAAGGACACCCAACTATATTCTGAGTTACTGACAAGTTCTGACCGTTTTTGTTACGATAATACCAAAGTTTCCATTGTTTTGTCAGTAACAGAAAACCAAATACTTTAATCTTGTTTTATTTTTTCAAAATTTAATGAATTATTTTCATAGATTTTTATTAATTTAAATAAATATGGATATATACAAATGAAATACTAAAAAAAATAAAATTTGTTTAATAAATTTTTGGGTTTTGAGTCCATTTGTAAAAATTTAGAAAAAGTTTCCATTGTTTTGTCGCACACTGTATATTGGGTAGATTTATTACCACGCATTTTGAATTTGAATAACTATAGAATAACTAAAGGCGGGCTTGTTATTAGAACAAAAAAATAATAAAGTGGGAATGATATAAAAAGTTGTTTATTTTAATTTTTATGGTTTTTACATGTATTAGTATATTAATTGAAAGTTAAATTTTTTATAAGCTGTTCAATTCCAAACAAACTTATGTAAAATATTATTGTAATTATGGATTGTTTGTTTGCCTTATTTATATTTTATTTTATTGTTATTATTTTATTTAGATAAACTTATCAAAACCAACCCGTATTGTTGAAATATGATACAAATTATTAAATACAAGCCAATTTGCATTCTTTGCAACAAAAATCTCAATGGTGTAGTGTATTGAAATATAGAAGATGTTTGCAAAAAAATAAAAAAAATGTTATGTCCCTAATGTACATATATGAATGTACGTACGTACATACATACATATTTACCCGAAAAATTTTTATTCTTAAAATAATGTGAATTTATGTATGAATGTCACTGCCCATCTATCTAAAAAGATGGACCTATGAAATAAAGAGCATTCGTTTATAGTCCATACAAAGTTCTCACCAACAATTAACATTAACAAAATACATGGTTTTTAGCAATTCAATCTGGATTTTTTAATAAACGTTTACGAGATAGGAAAATCTTAAATTTAAACTTTTGAAATTTCATTTGATAAGAATTAATTTCGGCGATTTTTAATCATTTAAAAAAAGAACAAACAAAAAGTCTTATCAGAATTATTTTTTAAAAGTATAAAAATTTTATAAAATTAATTTAGTTGCAAAGCGGTGGTCTCCGAAAAACAATCAATTATTTATACGTTGCCAAATACATATCGAACTTAAAGGTATCATATTTTTTAACACAATTTTAATAGGGGCAAACATTATATTTTTATTAAATCTTAATATATTATTTAAGACAAACAACTATCTCCTTAGGGGGTTTGTTTTGTTTCTATCCAAAATACGACTCGTACGACTGACGCAAATTATCAGTCTCAAAATTATCAACATTTTAACCTCTGATCTTATATTGGAACTTGTTGTCATTTAAATATGAACAAATATTTTTCAATTTTTGCAAAATGCAATTTCTAAAAACAATAATATATTATTATAAATCATGGAAAAATTACATTTACATTTGTAATCTGGAAATTGAAAAGACAACATCTATTAATTTGTAAAGTTCTAAGACAAAATTATAACTTTAACAAAATGTTTAAGAAAACGCTACCTAAAGTAATTGAAAATCTTAAAATATTTACACAAATATTTAATAATAATATTTTTTGCAGATGTCTGGAAATGCCAAAATTTTACAAGCATCCATTAAAGAGCTTGATCCCGAGCTTTTGGATTTAATCAAGGATGAGAAACAACGTCAAGTTAAAGGCCTTGAAATGATTGCTAGTGAAAATTTCACTTCATTGGCTGTTTTGGAATGTTTGGGTTCTTGCTTGCATAATAAATATTCCGAAGGTTTACCTGGCAAACGGTAAGTTGGAAATACTAAAAGTTTCAAATCAAACTGGGTACTTTTAAAATTATTTTTATGAACTTTTTCTGTAGAATTTATAAAGTAATCAGCATTTATTTTTTTTTATTCATTTGAAATTACTTTTGCGTTTCTTTTATAAATCTTAGGCTTAGTTCTTAGGACTCAGTTTTAATTAGACATAATCGTATAAAAATACAATTTAAAAACAGATTCATACTAATCGTACTAAAGTCAAACTCATTGCATACTTGTTTTTCCTTCTTTATAAAAATACTCCACAATTCCGGCGTACAAATCTTAGTCATCACCGATCGACACATGCTTAAATTAATTAAAGTACTAATTAAGATATCGATTGAACACTAATTGGACATATCATTTTAATACTTGATAATTCCAAATGCGGTGGAAAATTTTCACAATATAAATTTGTGTGTTGTTTCTTTTTAGCTACTACGGCGGTAATCAATTCATTGATAAAATTGAAGTGTTGGCCCAAAAACGTGCCTTGGAAACATTCAATTTGAATCCCGAAGAATGGGGTGTAAATGTACAGCCCTACTCTGGCTCTCCAGCTAACTTCTCCGTCTACACTGGTTTGTTGCAACCCCATGATCGGATTATGGGTTTGGACTTGCCCGATGGTGGACATTTGACTCATGGCTTCATGACTGCCAACAAACGTATTTCAGCCACTTCCATCTTCTTCGAATCGATGCCCTACAAGGTTGATCCTAAGACTGGTCTCATCGATTATGATGGCTTGGAGGCTAATGCTAAATTGTTTAAGCCTAAAGTTATTATTGCTGGCGTATCCTGCTACTCCAGATGTTTGGATTACGCTCGTTTCCGTAAGGTTTGCAATGACAATGACGCCTACTTGTTTGCTGATATGGCTCATGTTGCCGGTTTGGTAGCAGCTGGCCTCATCCCCTCACCATTCGAATATGCTGATGTAGTCACCACCACCACACACAAGACATTGAGAGGACCTCGTGCCGGTGTTGTATTCTTCCGCAAGGGTGTACGCAAGGTTAAGCCCAATGGTGATAAGGTTATGTACGATATTGAAGATCGTATTAACAACGCCATTTTCCCCGGTCTCCAAGGTAAATTTAAATATTGCCCGAAATTTTGAACGGTTACTTAATTGTATCTATCAACCCATAGGTGGTCCCCACAACAATACCATTGCCGGTATTGCCACTGCTTTCAAGCAAGCCCAATCTCCTGAATTCAAGGAATATCAAACCCAAGTTATTGCTAATGCTCGCCGTTTATGCGATGGTTTAATTAAGAAGGGCTACAGCATTGCCACTGGTGGCACTGATGTTCATTTGGTTTTGGTAGACTTACGTAATGTTGGTTTGACTGGATCTCGTGCTGAATATATTTTGGAAGAAGTCAATATTGCCTGTAATAAAAACACTGTTCCTGGTGACAAATCAGCCATGAATCCTTCCGGTATCCGCTTGGGCACACCCGCTTTAACCACCCGTGGTTTGGTTGAATCCGATATTGATGCTGTGGTCGAATATATTGATGCTGCTCTTAAGATTTGCGGCGAAGCTGTTAAGGTTTCCGGTCCAAAATTGGCTGATTTCCACCACACTGTACACAACAATCCCGAGATTCAAGCTAAAGTAGTTGCCTTGCGTTCTGAAATCGAAAAATTCAGTGAAAAATTCCCCCTACCTGGATTTGCCGAACTTTAAATATGTGTTATTTTAATTTGACTTTAACACGCCATCATAGTTTTAAGTTATAAAATAAAAACATTATTTTTTTAATAAAATCTTATATTTTTTAAAATGCTCTGGTGCTTTTCTGTCTAAATAACAAATAATTATCATATGTGTTGCTATTGCTTAAAACTTATTCCATAAATTCCATTTTAATACACTCTTTTGTGGGTTTCATGTCACGATGAAACCTAGAGTTGTGTGTCGATAATGACCATTTTGTTTTGAAGCCCTTGTGGCAGACGGAGCAATCGAATTCCTTGCCCATTATTTTTGAATGCTTCGAGGCTATATGGCGTCGCAGTGCATTGGGCGAATTCAACTTTCTCTTGCAGATTTTGCACAATAAAAATTTACCTAAAAACGAAGAACAAATAAAAGTGATAATATAATTACAGTTGAAATTTTATTTTCATTTCTATTAAATTTTTATATTTTAAATAAAATTACATTTTATAATAATTTGCAAATGTGTCGGATTTATGTGTTCATTTTAAATACATATTCAGTTAAAATGTCTTTCCAATGAGGTTTACATATATAAAAAATTAAAATTTATTGTTTTATTTTAATATGGCTTTTTTATGTACATTTTCTTTTATTTTCAAAGTTTTGCAATTAATTTTTTTTTGAAATTTTTTTTTTTATTTCAAAAATTTATTTAAAAAATATATTGCCGTTAATAAAAATATTAACTATTCGTGAAAACACCAAATTTTAACAAAATGCTACTGGCTTGCAGACTCTGTTCGAAAACAAGAATATTCGAATATGTTTACAAAATACATTCATTGTATTTCTAAGACTTTTTCTTTTGAATCAAAATGCTTTTCCTAAAACCCTTTAAAGATCTCGAATATTACTACAATTTTGAAATAGTTTTGAAAATAATTCCATTTTAATAAAATCAACGAAATCATGTTTTCTTTTCCTACGATATTTGTTTATAGATTTACTTTACTTTTTCCTGGATACTGATATCTACTTAATAAAATTTTCTTTGAAAATAAAATACGTTGAATTTTTGGAATCATTTCATTCGAAACGAAATACGCAATCAGTACTATATATGAATTAAGAGAAATTATAATAAATATGATACATAAATACAACTTAATTTTAAATGTATTTTCATTTGTAAACATAAATTCATGTGTTAAACAACTTTTCACATTGTATAGAATTTATGAAGTTTTTAGGAGGGAATTTAATTAAAAATATGTTTGTATTTCAATGTAAACAAAGGAAGAGGGAAAATATAACTTTAAAATTAAAAGAAATAGAAAAATAGTTAGTATTTACATTAAACTACTTAAATTTTAAACTGTGTGTGTATTTATAATATAGATTTTATTTCATATTTGTAATTTACATACAAACTACATTAAATTATGTAAATGTTTTTGTTTATAATTCAATATGGTTCAACATAACACTTCAGTTATTATTCTCTAATTTACGAAATTCTTTTAAGATTTAAATTGAATAATATTAATTTCTATAGATATTTTCTGTTTTTGCGGAAATAGCTTTAGTTTGTTTTTTATCCTTCTTTAAAATTAGATTTGTTTTTTTTTTTAATCATATATGGCGACTAGCTTCTTAGGATGAAATATTTACACTCTTTAACTATTGATCAGTTTTCCGTCTTAAGGGCCAACTTTTGTTCGTGTGAAATGCGTATGTGCTCACGTAGGCTGTATTTGTTTTTGAAATTTTTATTACACAATTCACATTTACGCGGTGGCTGTGGAGTATGCTGGGTACGAATATGTCTCCAAAGATTAACTGTTGTTATAACCATTTTGCAAAATTGACATTCTGTCCATTTGTTATTGGGTAAATCTAAAAATATACAGAAAGAAAAATGAAGAAACAACCAACAACAAAACATTTCATTTTTATAGTTTTTTAATAAAATTTCATTAATTTAGCAATCTTAAGTGCCAATTCTTAGATGTCGAACTTTTATGAAAATCACCCAACAAAGTATGTTCGAGTGATTTCCATATTAAATGTTCATAGAGTAAACAGGCACTAAATGTTTTATAAAACTGGATTTTCTTTTACAAACAATTTTACAACACATAAAACCAAAATAAGAGAAACAAAAATTATATGAATCAAAAATAGCACACAATAAACAAAACAGTTCAAATAAATATTACAAGCTTTTACTTTGGAGACATATTCGTTGTTAGACACAAAGATAACTTTTTCTATGAATTCTTGTACTACTACGTGGAACAGAAAAAAAAATAAATCATAATATTTATAAAAAGATAAACTGATGTCTATTATATTTATATATATATAATACTTAAATAAATAAATATGTAAGTAAATTAATATGTTAATCATTAAAGTAAAAACTTTTTAATTTTTACTAAAAAATAAAATTGAAATTAAATGTAAAGGTACTTTTAAAAGTAAAATAAAAGATAAATTTACTAACCTGTTGAACTGACTTTATTTTCAGTTTTAATTGTTGACAGCACATTTGAACTGGAGGTGGTTGTATCATCTAATGCATTTTGTGATGTACTGGTTGATGTGGTGGTTGGATTTAATAAACGGCCTAAAAAATAAATTAACACATAGTTTATTTAGTGAAATTTTACATTTAGTTTATATCTTACCCATTTCGAGTGTCATTTCTGAATTATCTCCTTGATGAAATTTATCATCTATTTCAGATTCTGTTAATATCTCGTATTCTGAAGGATATTGGGCAACATTCTGACCACTATTTGCTGAATCTTGATTATTTCCCGGTGTCCCACCAGCATCTGAAAGTCGATCATCTACTTCACTTACTATATATTCGGGTATATCCATCTTTATGGTTCCTCTTAAAAGTGTCATGTCTGCAGCTAGAATAATATTTAAGAAACAAAACAAGTAAATTTTTTAGTTGAAATATATTCTAAAAATCTTTCAATGTCCCTTAAAAAAGAACTTGGCCTAAAGCCGTAATTCAACTATATTACAGTTATTAAAAACAGAAAATTCCATTTAACTTTTGAAGAAATATGAAATTGTTATTACGATTAACTTACTCTTCACAATAGTTTGTTCGTCCACCGTTTCCGTTGTGTAAATATTGTCATCATCATCGGAAAATGTTATTTTACGTTTTTTCATCGAATTGCCTGTGGTGGCCGGCAGTGTAACTATATTTGCACTCAATTGTGTTGGTTGTGTAGTCACTTGAACTTGTTGGGTTTGGGATGATTGCTGATGGTGTTGGTGCTGTTGTTGTTGAACTTGATGCTGGACCTGTAACTGTTGCTGATGTGTGTGTTGATGTCCCGTTACAGTGGTAACTTGATGAGTTGTCGCAGGTGATGTATTCTGATGTACTTGTATGTGCTGGATTTGTGTTTGAACATGATGATGCTGCTGCTGTTGTTGTTGCTGAGGAACTGTTGTAGTCTGAGTTTGCGTCTGTAGCTGCGGAATTTGTATTTGTTGTGTGGTGGTATGAAGCAGGGGAATATCAATGGTTTGAGTAGCGGTTGTGGCATCATTTACAGCGCGTATAGTGCTGGGTATGGATTTCATTAATTTCTGTTCTTCAATGAGTGGGGTTGGTGGTTTTGGTTTCTCTTTTTCTTCAGCTGTCAGACCCTGGACTGCCAGCAGTTCAGCGGTTTGTAAAAATGATTGAAGAGCCTCTTGTTGAACGTTAACTTCGCCCTGCAATTACATCAGATTTAAAACTTTTTTCTATTAAATTTCTTTTGTCAGCTTACCTGGTACATAAACTCTATAATTGAGTTGAGATCTTCATACTTAATAAATTTAAATATAATAACAGGATGCGGATGGGGATTTTCGGTAAATATCTCCTTGAAATACGAACTGCAAGCAGATAAAACAACTTTATGGGCTTTAATTTTGCGGCCGTCACACAATAGACTGACGTCGACAAAGTCATCGTTGACACGATGATTGTCCAGAGCATAAGTTAAATGACGAAAGTAGTTGTTCCAACGCAGTGAATACTGTTGAGGCGCTGACATTGTGTAGCTGTCTATGGCTATTGCTGCTGTTTGGAAGATGTTATCGTATAAATGGCTTTCACTTGATTACCATTGATTACTATTGGCCAGTTCGATAATGTTTTTCAATTATTGTCTGTTTGATAGAAAATCCAATTAAAACATTGGATTTTTTTTGTAGTTTATCTTCCTTTTTCTTTTCACCCCCGTAAAAAATTTTCTAAATTAAAGTGGTAAAATTTAATACACTAGTGACACTTTTCTTTAATTTTTCTTAGAGATCTTCTTTATATCGCATTGTAAAATATGCCAATTCGATGCAAATTTTCAATTTATTTGTTTATTTTGATTTTTCTTGTATTAATGCAAGAAATTTTTTCTGCGTGAAAAATATTTATGTACGCTTTAAGTAAAAGTGTTGCCAACAAAGTTGTTGGTTTATTCGGCTGTCAAAATAAGAAAACAACTGAAACGGCATTATCGACGTTAATGTAGACGCCATGTTTGGAAAACACTAAAAATATATTAGCGTTGTATAACAATAATGTTTACGTTATTTCAAATGTATTTATGTTGAAAAAAAACTAACTAAAATGTTAAAAATATTAAAACTCTAAATTTATATTAAAGAGCTGAAATTAAATTTCAAAACTTTTTTGAAACATTTTATATTAAAACAAACCCGTTTAATTTTAAGGTTTCTTTTTTAATGTATATGTGTATGTTTAAATGCTATGTATATGTATGAATATTGGAAAAAGGGAAATGAATATTGGTAATTTGTCGAAAATGTTATTTTTATTAAATAATTTCTTTAAAAATGTCGATTTTTTTAATGTAAATAATTGACCAAGTTTATTTAGGAAATAAATAAAATAAAAATAAAAAAGATAGTGGATTTTTTGAAATAAGAACTAATAATAGAGAGTTGTTTTGAATAAGAGAATATTATCATTGAAAATAGGGATTCTTTTGAAATAAAACTAATAATACGGAGTTTTTCATTAAAATATATAGTTTTTTATATAAATTCTTAATAAATAGTATTTTGTTGCATTTGAAAACAAACAAAAAAAAAGCTAAGGTAGTAAAAATCTATATTAATTCAATGTTTTATTCCAAATTTAAATTGTTTGTATTTAATATTCTACAGGATTTTAAAAATTGTAATTAACTTAGGTACAGTGGCGAGCAAAACTGATACATATCAATCAAGTTTATGTTAAAAACCCAATAAAATCCAGAAAATATTAAGAAAAAAATTGATATTTGTTTTAAAATAAGCAGCAGAAGAATAATAAAATAAAACAATAGAAAATTCGCGAATAGTGAAACTTTTTCTCAAGTTTTAGCCAATTTTATTAAAAAAGTCAATGTATCTACTTTTGCACGTTTAAATTTAATTAATCTAGCAACACAAATAAATTGAAAAATAACAATGAATTTGAGTACTAATTACCGTGCTCGTCAAATTGCCAAGAAGTTAGGAATTTGCCACCTAAGAGTGCTACAAGTGCGAAAAATAAAAAAATATAAGCACACCAGAAGTTAAGAAAGGTCGATTGTGCTTGCTTTCGGAGAGAGATGCCAGAACTATGGAGCGTTTATTGACATCCAAACAGATAAAAACACCAAAAACAGGCTCCTGTCGCCATAAATAAGCCCTTAAGTGATTGGGCAGCCCGGAGAGCTCTTCGTAGAATTGGCCTTATATCAGCCATAAAGCAGAAAACACCAGCGTTAAAAAATGTGAAGGATCGTCTTAAATTTTGCAAGGAGCACAAAAATTGGAGTGTTGATGACAGGAAAACATGAGGGTGGTAGTCTTGTGGTGTGGGCTTGTTTCACTTGGTAGAATCTCGGTACTTTAGTAAAATTAGATGCTATAATGAAAAAGGAGGATTATTTGAGCATTTTCAATCCAATATTCCAGATTTTGTGGAAGTATGTGCATATCCAGAGTCAGAGGTTATACTCCAACAGGATGGGGATCCGAAGCATACGGCAAAAATCATAAAAAATTGGCTTTCAGCGCAGAATTTTCAAACGATGCAATGGCCAACTCAATGCCCGGAAATCAATCCAATTGAAAATTTATGGGCTTTGTTAAAAAAACGTCTTGCGCAATTCGATAGAAGAAAGAACTTTGGTCGAGAGTACAAACGGAGTGGTCTAGTATTCCGCACCGGACCATTGAGACCTTGGTCGAAAGTACTCCTAAACGTATAAAAAGTGGCATAAAAGCAAGAGGACTTTGCACAAAATATTAAAAATCAAATTGTTTTTAAAACGTGCAAAACTGGATACTTCGACTTTATTTATAAATATGTTTTAATCTTTAGATTAATATTTAATTATCATGAATTTAATTTTGTTTTCTTTTTATATTGTTTTACTGAATATTTTTAATTGAAAACTTAATTATTTTTCCTTTATTTTATGGGTTTTATTGCATTTTTAAGTCTTATTGGCTAAACATGTATCAGTTTTGCTCGCCACTGTATGTATATCAAAACGGGTGTCATCTGAAAAACGACTCATATGATTAATCGTATATGTTAATCGTGTAAAAAATAATCGAATTAATTCCAATATAAAAGGTAGGGTCATTTTTTTGAGCATGAAGAAAAAATAGTATTTTTTAATGTTATGCTGAAAATTACTTTCAGTAAAAATAACAGGAAATTTAGTCAATCGGTTTGAACTATTAGATCGAGCACATATGTGTAATATGTATGTATGTATACATGTGGTGCATACTTGTTATTTTCACGTGCTAAAGTTCAGTATTTTGAATAATTAAAAGTTTATAAACTCATACTTGATGATAGACAAATAAAAATGTTTGTTTTTTTTTAATACATATTAATTAGAAATTGTTTATTCTTTGTGTAGAATGTACTTTAATTTGTTTTAGAAATATGTCTTTAAATAACGTATCAACATTTTGCCAATTAAGAAAACGCCAATGAATTGTATTAAATAATGAAGAACCCAAAATATTTTTAAACGCATCTTTGCTTGGTTCGAGGCCTCTGGTGATTCCTTCAATAGAAATTGTTTGGCTCCCTTGATTCCATGTGATATAAATTTCTCATGATCGAAATCCGAATAGCACATAAAGCTCAATTTTTCTCTGCAATAAAAAATATATGTATTATATCTCTTTTATATTAAAAAAGTTATGTATTTAACTCACTTATCTTCGGGTGGTATTAAATTTTCTAAATTTTTAAATTTTTCATTGCAGAATATCCATTCAGTGGTCATAAATACATAAAGAGCACTATTAGCAGCGCAAATACGTCGTTGTAATTTTAAAAGACTACAAAAAACAAACATGATATTGAAATTTTGATTCAAAAAGTAAATGGGTATTAATATAAAATGTACTTACAACGGCTTTTGCTTGGCCAAGCCCAAAAGGGCATCTACTATTAAGGCCAATCCAATTTGTAAGGTAAAAAGCTATTTTATAAAAAAGTAATTATTTTATAATCTAAAAAAAAAATGGACCCTTACCCGTAAATAATGCCATACAGCACATCTGGTTATACTACCCTCCGGCAACCAGAGACATTTCTCGAACGGATTCTTTTTTATACAAATTTTGCCTAGTCTTATAACATTACCATAATTTATCGAATTTATGGTAGCATTTGCACAATTAATAACTTCCAATTCATCTGAAATTTCTCTGGGTATAGATTGCCTTGTGGCCAATTTAAAAGCAGCTATAAGAAGAGCTTTAACCGTTACGTCTACCGGTATAACATCCGCAGTAATATCTGGATCAGCGTAACTTGTACGTAAAATGCCAACGCCACATGCCACCAACATGCCGATTGGCCCATTGAAATTATCAACCCAACCGGAAATTGGTTCCTCAATAGTAGATACCACTAAAAAAATAATTCATATAAATGTATGTATATAGTACTATGTATTATAATTTGCAAGAAATTTGAACTACCTATTGACGGTCTAAAGACCATAATGGGCAGTTGGTGACGATAATCATTAATAACGTGCTCGGCTAAACTTTTTGTAAATATATACGTATTGGGTTGATCCGAACTGTATTTCGAAAAAATTATATTCAAAGTTTCCACATCATAGGTTTCGGCCAGCTTGATTGTAGTACGCCAGTCGGCATATGCCGGATATATCTGGAGTTAAATAAAATATATGACTTGTAGCAAATACTAGCAGACAATTTTAACAGTTTTATAATCAAATGTGTACATTTTAAAGCCAGATTTGATACACTTTTCGAATACTTAAACTTACCCTCTCTTCAACCACATGTTTGTCAGGGTTCGAATATGACGTCGAAATATGTACAAACGCCTTTAATTGCTTAAATTTTGTAGCGAGTTTAACCAATTCGTGAGTGCCGCGTGTATTTAATAAAATAGCAGATCTTAAATAGTCATCGAATCGAACACTGGCCGCGGAGTGGAAGACCAAATTAACATTTTTTAATTTCTCCAAATCCTCCTTACTTATACCAAGTTCCAGTTCTTGGCAATCTCCGGCAATGGGAATTATTTTTGAAAATGCTTGAGGTTGTTCTTTTCGTGCACGGTCAAATACAGACTTATTTAAAACCTCTTGTAATCGTTCATCGACCGATTTTCCTTTTTTGTTACGAATTAAAACGTACATTTTTGCAAAGTTCGGAAATGAACGTATCAGTTTTTCAATTAGTACATTACCGATAAAACCTTAATCATAAAAAATAATAGGAAATTATAGTTTTTTATTTTCAAATTGAAATAAATAATTAACGTCTCAACATACCGGAACCTCCAGTAATGAAGATTTCCTGATTCTCATAAAACTTTGTAATAGACATTTTTTTCACTATATAAAAAATAATCAAATTTGTTTGGGTATATCAATTTTGTTCAAGAATTTTCACTATCAAAAGTCGAACTAAGACTGATTTCAATATATTTTGTGCGATATACTTAACTAAAGCTATTTTAATATATTCTTTTTTTTTTTTTTTTTGTTTAACATTAATTAAAAACAATTTTATATTATATATTGTATTGAACATTTGTTTATCCAATTTTAAATAAATTGCATAGGTATTTGTTTCTCAACATCAAAATGAAGAAAAAAGAAAATATAGTCGGACATAGACTCCGATTTTACACTACATTCTTAATCTTTCAAACCAATTTAGGTCCATTATTATAACTTGCCAATAACTAACCGTTAACGTTATAGTGATAATTTCAAAAATATATAATGTTTATGCTAATAAATCTATATTTATTGGAAATCAAATATAATAACGAGAACCAATTATATACATTTTAAAATCCTAATTTTAGTTATTGGTAAATTGTAGTCATGGGCCTTAGTATACTAATTTTGGAATAAAATCCGACCAAGTTAGAATTAATTTTTATATTCAACTCAATTTTATACTTTATAAGTTAGAGGGTGAATCTCATTGATTGATTTCAAATTAATTTGTAAGTGTCCAGGAAACGAATGGAGATATGAATGTATATATATATATATTTTACCACGGGCTCGAAACACTGGAATATGGACTCCAGACTAATCCATTGTTGTCATGGATATGTATGATTATTAGGATAAATCATTCATTAAAAAAATATGTATTAATAACTACTTTCACTACTGTTTAATTGAATGGGTGGGAAACTTTAAAGTCACTTTAACATCTGATTAAAGCTGTTATACCATATTCCGGAAAACATTTGTTGTGTAGGAATAAAAATAATGCGTGTACATACGGAAAGTAATGAATTGTTCTCAATTGCATACATACATATGTCCATTTACATTTGCTAAAATATGCGAATGTTTAATGAATAATAAACTAAAGCAAATTGTTTTAAAGCAATTATTGATGTGGAAACATTTAACGAAATATTAATCGTGTTTTTTGAGAATAGAGTTTTTCATTTCCGAACTTTTTCGAACATAAATTTTATTGATTCATATAAATAACTACAGAATCAAAACCATTTAAAATTGAGATTATACGACTAATCTAAGTAAATATATAATTAGTTGAAAATTATAGTAATAATCATACATTATTTTAAATTGATTCTAAATATTTATTTGTTTTGGCTTCCCCTAAACTGACAATCGCTTTTGAAATGCTAATTATAATTCGAGTATAGAAGTGCACACTTCTTACTTAATTACATTGTAAAATGTAAATTTGCTGCAGTTTAAAAATAATATCCCATACTTAGTTGATTAGTAATTGTAAAATTACATAAGACTTTTTGGTGGCAGGCACAATTATTTTGAATATATCCCTTCGCCAATATTCAAATATTTCAATGTTTTGCCGTTTAACTATTTTGAAAAAATACTCTCAATTTAAGACATATATACATTTAATATGTTTATGACCTTACTGAAGTGTAATCGGAATCCTTCGGGTTTGTAATATATTCATTTCAGTTAATTACATTAAATAAATCTAAAAGTTTGGAAAATGTTAAATTTTTCACAAAAATTTTTCACCGTCATTGAAAGCTTTTTTGCGTTGGAAAAAATAAAGAAGGACCATTTTATCCCTTGACTAAACTAAGCATACCTTTAAACCAACGTGGGATACTACGGAATAAACTGGCTCTTAGAGATTCAAGACTTTTCAAATATTTTTCTTAAAATTTTGCGAAATAAATTTTTAGGTTTCGATTTTAGTGTAATTGTGGTAATATAAATCTACTTCATATAATCCCAATTGGTGCAATATGTTCTATATGTATGTATGTACATAAAATAAAGAAAACAATACCAAAATGAACTAATTATTAAAATAGTTCCGGAATATGTTTAGTACTTTCTAAAAGGAATTAAATGCTTAATTAACAAAGTTATTGATGTATTGATCTGGTCGATTGTTGGGGAAAATCGAAAGCTAAGAAACATTAGAAATTTAGTTAGTAAACGTATGATATTTTACAAAAGAAAAAACCCATTTATATTAGATCAATTTTCTTTCGGTTAAGTATTTGACTACTAAACGTAACACAACCCGTTACATTCCAATTGATTATCTCTCAAAGTCGGACAAACAAAAGAAACTGTTACAGAGATCTATACACACTGATTGATGAGAAAACGAGAGAGAAAAGTACAGCAAAACCCATAAACCTAAATATTATTCAAACATTCAACAAATCTACACAAAATTCCATCGGTAACGGTAAGTAACAAAAACAATTTCTATTAGAAAGATTAAAAAATGTTTAAAGAAACAAAGAATAAAGACAATGACCTCAAGTGTGAACTTTGTGATGAGATGACGATGACAAAAACTTTAGTAGATTTAAAAAAGTCCGTTTTTTATTTTTAAGATTTTTTATTGACAAATTATTACAATTTCATTGATGTTTGCTTTCTTTTTATAAGTTTTAATTATAATTTAATGATTTTGATGTTGTTAAATAAAACACGACGACCTTGTTTCTTTTTCTAATGATCCTTTTAAAATTATTACAAATGAGAGATCGTGTATTATTTTGTTCTTTTTTATTTTTCAAGATGTTTTTAAAACACTCTTTTTAGTTAAGTTTGTTTTATTAGACAAAATTTTGGCATTTATCTCTTTTTTGTTTGTTTTTAATGTGTGCGATTGTTGTTTAAGTTTTTATTAAATTATAGAAAAAGAGTGCTCTGCAAAAATAAGGAAAGAGTCCTTTTCTTAGTGGATACATTTTTTGTCATTTTTGTTCTCAAGTCTTTTTGTTTTTTTCTTAAAAAGTTTTGCAAAGAACTGAATTTAATTAACATTTTTAAGCGTAAATTATTTCAACACATACGCATGTAATTAAACAAAAATTATTATTATTACGATTATAATATATAAATGATGAAAATGAATGATTGGTAAAAGTAGCGATATTAAAACAAAAACTCTTGTTTTGGAATGTTTGTTGATAACTTTTTATTTGAAAACAACTCTTAAATGTGGGAGTTGGTGGAGAGGATTATAAATTGGAAATGCTTACAATTCAAATTCATACAAAAAGGATTCTTTTTTATTCTTTATCTCTTTTCTTTTCTGGCTGTTTAGTGGTTTTTGCTTTAAAGCAAAAAATTTAAACCATTTCAAAAAGATTTGAAATTTAAGAAATTGGAGCGATTTTTGGATGAGTGTGTTGGGAGGAGAATGATTGATTGATCATGCGTGTATGAATGAACTGAATTATGAATGATAGATGGATGGATGATGAATGATTTGTTTTGGAACGAGATAGAAATAAGGAAAAAGACAAGTTGTTTTAAGGGTTTTTTCATCTTTTTTTATATAATTATATAATAATAATAATTAAGAAATAATAATACATTTGCGAGTTGTTTTCAAAGAAAAAAATTAAAATAAAATAAAAAATAATAAAAATTATTACAATTTGCAAATTATTTTTTGGGATGTTCTTTTTGTAAATGTATGTTGTTTTTGTTGTTCTTGTGTGTAATATATAAATTTAAGTTTTTATGTGGTGTGGAACGAACGCATGGTTTTCAGTTGATTTTGTTAAAAAAATTTTTGTTAAATTTTTTCTTTTTGGAATTTTTCATTGTTAAACACTAGACCAAAGTAAAATTTTCAATAAAATAGAAAATCACTTTAGTAGAGCATCTTCTTCTAAATATATATATAATATTTATATGTATATGTTGTTGTTGTGTTTTAGTATAAACCTCCTCTTCTCTTGTGGATGTTGTTTGTTTGTTGTCATATAGATGATCTTATACTTCTTCTCCTTATTACTACGACTAATACGGCAGCTACTAAAAATGGGTTCTTTCTATGTTGTTGTTATTGTTATAGTAGTAAAATGATACCAACAAATGCTAAAACACTTCGCAAGGAGGTGCAGGAGCATAAGGTGGCAACAATACAAAACGTAAACATGTTGTGTTGGTGGTGGTAGTAGTAGGTGAAACCGCTTAGAAGCACTTTCTGTGGACAATGGAGGGGCCGGATTCGTCGTATTCTTGTTTGGAGATCCACATCTGTTGGAAGGTTGAGAGGGAAGCCAAGATGGAACCACCGATCCATACGGAGTATTTGCGTTCTGGGGGAGCGATGATCTTGATCTTCATGGTGGATGGAGCCAAGGCGGTGATTTCCTTTTGCATACGGTCGGCGATGCCAGGGTACATGGTGGTACCACCGGACAAGACAGTGTTGGCGTACAAGTCCTTACGGATATCGACGTCACACTTCATGATGGAGTTGTAGGTGGTCTCGTGGATGCCGCAGGCTTCCATACCCAAGAAGGAAGGTTGGAACAAAGCTTCGGGGCAACGGAAACGTTCATTACCAATGGTGATCACTTGACCATCGGGCAATTCGTAGCTCTTCTCCAAGCTGGAGCTGGAGGCAGCGGTGGCCATTTCTTGTTCAAAGTCCAAGGCGACATAGCACAATTTTTCCTTGATGTCACGGACAATTTCACGTTCGGCTGTGGTGGTGAAGGAATAGCCACGTTCAGTCAAGATCTTCATCAAGTAGTCGGTCAAATCGCGACCAGCCAAATCCAAACGCAAGATGGCGTGTGGCAGGGCATAACCTTCGTAGATGGGTACGGTGTGGGAGACACCATCACCAGAATCCAAGACAATACCGGTGGTACGACCGGAGGCATACAAGGACAATACAGCTTGGATGGCCACATACATAGCGGGTGTGTTGAATGTTTCGAACATGATTTGTGTCATTTTCTCACGGTTGGCTTTAGGATTCAAGGGGGCTTCGGTCAACAAGACGGGGTGTTCCTCGGGGGCGACACGCAATTCATTGTAGAAAGTGTGATGCCAGATCTTTTCCATATCATCCCAGTTGGTGACGATACCGTGTTCAATGGGATATTTCAATGTGAGAATACCACGTTTGCTTTGGGCTTCATCACCGACGTACGAATCCTTTTGACCCATACCGACCATCACACCTTGATGACGTGGACGACCGACAATTGAGGGGAAGACGGCACGGGGAGCATCATCACCAGCGAAACCGGCTTTGCACATACCGGAACCGTTATCAACAACTAAGGCAGCAACTTCTTCGTCGCACATTTTGTTTGCTGCAAAAGAATTAATTTGGAAAAAAATTAATAAATTAATTATTCCAAAGAAAATAGCAAAAAAAAAAGTTGTGTGATAGAAAAAAATTTTAGTTATCAAATTTCTTTTGGTCAATACCGTTAACTTCCTTCGAAAAGGCTGAATAGTTTCTGCCAAAATTAATAACAATTTGTTTAAAAGAAACAAGAATTTTTAATTTTTTTACTTTAAATTTAAAAGGACGACTTTAATTTCAATGACAGTTAAATAAATTGTTTTTTAATTCACAAAATATATTCACAATCTTAACAAAAGTTAAGAAAAGAAAATGTGAGTACTAAAAGAAAAGAAGTACTAAGAAATTATTAGCGGTACTTTTATCTGACTCAGAAAAAACTATTTTTTTATATAAACTAAACTGCAAAATTAATGGTGGGGTATCTGAGTAATCATTCCCCTAAGGAATATAAGAGTTTGAGTCGAAATCAGCAAAAATTACTCATTGCGAGAAGAGATAAAAAGGGCAACGCCCTTGAAACGCAAAAAGCCGGCTTTAGCAAAATTAAAAATGGCGTTGTTCTTGTGAAAAAATTGCAATTATTTTTAAAATATTGTGGATAACTTACTTTACTTTTTATAAAATCACACACGAAATAATTTATTTTAAAATACAGACGTTATTTTTCTTTCCAAAATACGTCTAATTAATTTGTTTGGAAATTAGATATTTTTCACAAAGCAATAAAGAAGAAAACTGCACTTTTATTTCTTTAATGGTTCTTCGCAAGCACCGTTTTAAACACAACCTAAGCGTTTGACAGACGAACTACGAATGACTCGACAAAGCAAAAGCCAGTTAAAATTTTTAGTATTAGTGCCGGTGTGTGTGTGTGTATGTTTGAATTTCCAGATAAAACCAAAGAGAGGGTTTTTCAATCACACAAACGAACATATATATACATTTGACATATTTAGCAAAAACCACAAAGCCCACATTGGAAATTCTCCGGCGCTCTTTATCATTAAGAGAGTAAAGTATATTTATCTCTTTCTGTCACATAGACTTTAATACTTAACGCTGTTTTACGATTTTACTTTAAACATTTTCAGATATTTAACCAATTTTTGTGACCATATATGGTCATGTTTTGTTTCAAAGCTTAAAATAAACGAAGAAAAAATATCGTTATCTATTTTCAGAATTTCCCCTTTCACACCTTTTGCATCTTTATCAACAGTTTATTTTTTTTTTTAAATAATAATAATGAGAATCCGAGGGAAGTTGAAGAGAGATTGTACTTATTTAGTACGTAGCTAACACACCCATACCCTTACATAGTTAATGGATTTAAAAATTCTTATTTTTTCTTTTTCTCGTTCTCTTTCTCGTTAGTGTGTTGTTTTTGCTGTAAGCCGGCATTTTCATGTAATTAATTTACTGAAAAAAGGTGTACGGAAGCGTAAAAAATGAGTCAAGTTCAAATTGTGTTTTAAGTGTGTCGGTCGTTAAATTGTGGTATGCAAAAAAAAAAAACAAGAAAAAAGCAAATGACGTGTTCTTTTTTTTATAAATTTTTAATCTATGACGTGATATTGTGGAAATTGTTTCGAAGTTATCGATAGGTAATATGAAGGTAAGTTTCTGGAATTATTGTCTTTGTGAAAAATAACTGATAATTGAACATTTTCTAAATTGGCTTGGTAGTGTTGCCAAACTTATAAACATAGTCCCTTAAAATGACAAAAAATATTTCCAAAATTTCCACGACAAAATGTATAAATTTTGAAAAGCCAAAATTAGGTGTGCCAGGATAGACACTACATGCAATGAAAATTCTGTAAAATTATAGAACTAGGACCTTTTACATGGCTTTTTTAGAGGGTGTGTTAGTTTTTAATTAATTAAAATTTTAAGGGTAAAATTTTATTAACAAAATGTAAAATTATAAAAAATATGATCTGTACCTATATATTATTGCAGAAATAATTTAAAAACTTAAGAAAATTTGTAACTTAAACGTATTTATGCAGTTTATAAATAAATTATAACTTTAACAAAGGAATGTGAAAGTTTTAAATGAAACGAATAATATTTCTTTTATTTTAAGAGAAATAGAAAGTGTGTGAATTTTACACATCATTGAATTTTATATTTTTTGCACGAAATACCGAATATAGTAAAAAATACTGTTATTTCGATCTTTATTTGAATTTCAAATAAAAGAAACAATAAAAATGAAAGTGCATTAATTAAAAAAAAAAAAAAAAAACTTTTTAACATTTAGTTTAGATACCGTTTTAAAAAGTAACGGATTTTTAATTTCCACAAATTAAAACACACTTTAAAGTAGGTGGTATCACTTAAACATACATTATGTATGAATTGATTTATTTTAATCTTATCAATATTTGACGTTTTCGCAATACTAGGTGTTTGTTATATAATATAAATTGTAGAATATTGCATTTAGTATATTCTTTAGAATTTTAGCCCAAAATTGGTATGACATTTTACTTTTTTAAATTTTGAAACACTTTACTTTTTTCTTGTTAAAGTTTTTGTTAAATTAATCCACAATTTGTTGCTGTATTTGTATTGTTAATTTTTCATATTTATTTAAATGTTTTTTCTTTTTGTTTATTTTGTTCGTTTTTGTCTTTTCTTGGTTTTCAATTATTTTTTTTAACACACAAAATTTTTCATTGCTTTTTTACATATATTTTTTTTTTTTTTTTTGAATTTTCACTAGTTTTATTTTTTGTTGCTGCTGTTGTTTGTAACAAAATACTTACTTTGTGTTTTATTAAATTACTAAAATTAAATAAATAAATTAAGTCTTTTTGTTGGTTTGGGAGGTCTCGCGTTGGTATCCACACAGCACAAGAACGCAAACTTTAATGATAGTAAAACTCGTTGTTACAAGCGTTTATAAAGGCGGCTACCCTTATCAAAACGCGTTTCATATGGGTTCTCTAGTGCTTTTCAGACATTTTACCATATATGGGTATGGATGGCATCCATTGGATGCACAAAACGTGCAGCATTGTTGCCATATTTCTAGAGAATTTCGTATTTTTGAGCATTGAGAAATGAGAAACGAGAAATGAGTAATAAACCCGCATTAAAAATACAACAAATACAATACACGCACACACATGCTCGCGCAACGAAAACCGATAAGTTTAATCGCCGTCTGAATTTTTCATTTCATTTATTTATTTATTTGTTTATTTTTACTCTCTTTCTAGTTTATTATATACTTGAGTACAACAACAATAAAAATATAGGCGAGTCATTTGAAATGCGGGCTTGCTCATATTTTGTTTTGTTGAGTCTTCGTTTTACATTATTTTATTCCAACGGTTTTTTTAATTTCTTTCTTTTCTTTTGTGTAAGTGAGAATGTCAGTTCAGCTTTTGTTTGTTTGACTTAACTTACGTTTTGTTGTTGTTTCTCTCTTTGTTTAAGGCATTCATTTGTTTGAAATACATAACTACTCTTAATTATATACATATGTACATACATATTTTATTTTTTGTAAACATCGTCTGTGACTCAGTTCGTTTTGCTGATAGGAGTCTAATCAAACGTTAGGGTTTAAATTTGAAATTTTTAATAAATGCACATTATTTAAACAATATTCAACTGATAACATTTTAAGGAATTTTTCTAGATAAAATTCATACCTATAATCAATAAGGATTTATTAAATTTAAAAAAGAGAATTTTATGTTTTAACTGTGGAAAAAATGTTTAATAAAAAACAACCTTAAACAAGAAGTGAGAAACAAATTCTACACATATCTTGTACCTATAATTTAGGATTAAACAAATTTTAAATATTTTTGTTAAAATTGTGTTTAGTGTTTTAAACCAAAATAAAAAAAATGGTACCTTAGAACAACTAATGTTTTTAAAACATTTTGTAGGTACCTACCTATAGAAAATAATTAATTTAAACAAATTTCCCGATATCCTTAAAAAACTGAGTTTTACAAAAAAAAAATAATTTTAGTGTAAAAATTTTAAAATTATAAACCGTTTATAAAATAAACATTTCTTTATCGAATATATTTAGATATTTAATAAAAATTTCTACATACCTATAAATGTACATAAAATTTAGCCATTTCCGAATCTTTTTTAAAAACCTAAACGGCATTTTTATGAATTTTATTAAGGTTTTTAATACAGGTACATACATATTTATGTATAAATTTTTCATTAAGTACTACCTATATCGGAGGGATAATTTGTTAAAAATTTGTTGAAAATTACTTAGTTTAAAGCTAAATTTCTATTTAATTATTCAGTTTCCAAACATCAACTAAAGGTTCAGGTCATAAGAAATAGAAAAAAACTTATATACCTATGTGGGTTCAACCAGTCTTAAATTTTATAGGTAGTTTGAGTAAAAAATACATCTATAAACCTATCTAAGGTCCTATGCCATGATGTTATTTTTTAATTATTTACAAGATAATAGGTACGTACCTATGTACCTATTTCCTAAAATTAGTAGAAATTTAGTAAAAGAGGTAACTATACGTTCATTCATACCGGACGGACGGAAACACATTTTTTAGGCCTTAAATAATATTAAAATTGTATTTCCTTAAATGAAAAAAAAAAACAAATAACTAATGAAACAGTAGTGAAAATAGTGCGTGTGCATTATAAGTAATAATGAGTTTTTTCTATAAATTCAATCCTTATATGATAAAAATTTCGTTTTAACAAAAACTTTTGATTCATTATTGACAAATACGAAAAACTTGACTTCCCTTGTAGAACAAAAAAAATATCAGCAATATTTGCCAAAAAAAAACTTCAGAATTTTTTTGTTATTTTTATTTTATGTTTTTATTATTATTTATGCATCTGTGTATGTTGAAATACATACACTCTCTTATATGTATGCTCAGATTCTATTTTTAACAATTTAAAACAGACTCAGAGAAGAATCAATTTCTATAAAAGCCGGTTTTAGAAAACTGTAAAGAGCAGAGCAAAAAAGGGGAATTAAATAAAAAAGTTTTGCTTTAGGGAAGGGGAACACTAGGGGGAGGAGAACTATGTAATATAAATATTTGTGTACAGACAGAAAGCCGGCTTAAAAACAGTTTTTTTAATATGAAGCTTTATGAAAAACAAAAATATTTTTTTCTTATTTTTTAAGACTCCATGAGTCATTACTGTTTATGGTTCTATTTCGATAACAAATGTTTTTATGGAATTTAAAGAAATATTTATTTGACTCAAATAAATATATTTACTCTATATACTATGCATATATAAATAAATATTAGGTATATACATAGTTTTAAAAATCAACAAAATTTAAACTAAATTCATACATAGCGATTTTAATAACCATATGACGTGTTCCTTTTTTGAGAAATTTGTATGAATATTGTTGTGATAAGATTATGTGAGACGATATGATTATTTTGCAAAACATATCAGTTGTCCTCAGTTAAGTATATTAGACCAGCCCATAAAATTATTAGATTGTAGGGCAATCGATCAGTAATTAATCCTACATCTTAATAACACTCAAATCCTTTATAAATTTGGGCATCGTTTTCATACTACATATTTTTAAAGGGTATTTCTCTCTAAAGTTCTGAATTTCTTTTTGGGTAGAGGTAATTATGTCTCAGCATTCATGTAAATCCTATTATCAAGCTATATCAACATTCTGTAAGCTTTTAATCTGAAAATTTCCCTTATGAATTCAATCCTATGTACAACGAAACTAATTCTGAATGATACATTTTTTCAATACCTATGTTACAAATTAAATAAACCTTTTTAACCATTCCTATTTTTTCCTCTGAATAATAAAATTTTGTTTGAATTAAAGCAATCAATTTGAGAATGATTTTAAAGAACAATCTTCATTTTTTCTTGACTTTATTTAAAATTAATTTAATAGGTAGGTACCTATCGCATTTTCTTTTTAGGAGCCGTTCTATTGCACATGTTTTTATTTACGTTAAATCATCGTTTAACGTCAAAATACTTTATACAACAAATATTTTTTTTCACTTCTATCTTTAAACTTGAAGTCATATGAATTTTTTTAGTTTTATTTTTCATTTGTTTATCTTATCTAATATTTTTAATTTAGTTTTTTATGAAAAAGCAAGATAGGAACCTCATTAATAGTTGTGTTGGGATTTTTTCTATTCAATACATACATATGTAGGTATTTACTAACACGTAGTTTGCTAACTTTAGTCAGCGATAGGGTTCAAAAGACAAAAAAGGTTCTTGTTAAGGTTTTATTTAACATTTACTATCATAAGTAGACAATTGATTTTACTTTTTAATGCAAGTTGCTTTGCCATTTTTTTAAATACACCATTGTGCAGTATTTATGTAAATACTATATACATACATACATACATACATATGTATGTTGCGAAGTAGATACATACATAGGTATGTTCTTAAATTTCTAAAGTTTTGCTTTTAGGTTTCCTGTAATACAATGTTGTCAAATTTCCTACCAAAATTACAAATTAAATTTGTATGAGAGTTAAGCGTAGTTTAATAAGTCAGCTGTTTGTGTAGTTTTAGCAAATAATTTCACCAAGCATCAACTTTAAAACTGATG